ATGCCTATTCACTATATTGTGATGCCTATTCACCTATATTGTGATGCCCTATTCACCATATTATGATGCCTATTCACCATATTGTGATGCCTATTCACCATATTGTGATGCCTATTCACTATATTGTGATGCCTATTCACTATATTGTGATGCCTATTCACCTTATTGTGATGCCTATTCACCATATTGTGATGCCTATTCACCATGCCATACTGTCAGACTCTTTCAAATATTTTATGTTAATCACTGTGAATGTAGTACCTTGTTAATTCTATAGTAGAGCAATGGTTAAAATAAAAGTGAATATTGACTAGTAATCCTATTTCAGATCTACAGGCAGCAAGTATCTCACTATATATCCATGGGTGCATAGTTACTGTAATAATATGTGTTTAGAAGACCAGCTCCATCCAGTTGAGATTCCAGATGTCAATCCAGCTGATTTACAACCATCTGCAGCATTCTCTATGGCAGCTGGTGACTTTGTAGAAGTCTATAAGATGAAGGTAAGGACATAACAATCCAGCTGATTTACAACCATCTGTTCTGTTCTGTTGGAGTGAATCTATATTTTTTTTTTTATATTTTGTATTTCAGATTCCTGGGACTGTGTTGCTACGTGTTATTTTATTGACACTGCTCATAATGTGCTGGCATATATTGAAACTATATATAATATTTTGAAACCTGGTGGTTATTGGATAAATCTAGGTGAGCAATTAATAATTGATTATTCCATTCACTGACATTTTTAGCTCCGCTGTGGGCAAGGTCGACACAGCGGACCTGTTCATATTACTGATTGTCCGTCGTCGTCGTCGTCAACTTTACAATTTCAACTTCTTCTTTGAAACCGCATGTCAAAATGTTTTCAAATTTGATATGCAAGTACCTTGGATGATTTGTTCTCAGATTTGTTCATTACATGTCAAATTCTCTATTTTTCTTGAATATCTTCTTCATTTTTGGTAAAAAGTGATATTTTTGACTTCTTGTCAAAAACCGCAAGTCCAACTGCTTTTATATTACATATATAGGTACTACATGTGGACCTTTCTAAGATTTGTTCATTTTGTAATGATATCTTTAATTCTCTAATTTTGATGAATATTTTTATAATTTTTGGTAAAAAGTGATATTTTAAACTTCTTGTTAAAAACCAAAAGTGCAATTGCTTTGATATTACATATATAGGTACTACATGTGGACCTCTCTTAGATTTGTTCATTTTGTGATGATATCTTCTATTCTCTAATTCTATAATTCTCAATTGCTTTGATATTACATATATAGGTACTGCATGTGGACCTTTCTCAGATTTGTTCATTTCGTGATGATATCTTCAATTCTCCAATTTTGGTGAATATTTTTATAATTTTTGGTAAAAAGTGATATTTTCAACTTCTTTTAAAAAATCAATCCAGTCCAATTGCTTTGATATTACATATATAGGTACTACATGTGAACCTCTCTCAGATATTTTTGTGATGATATCTTCAATTCTCTAATTTTAATGATGTTTTTCTGGCATTTTTGGTAAAAAGTGATATTTTTGAATTTTTGTTGAAAACAGCAAGTCCGGTTGCTTTGATACTTTACATATTGTTCATTTTCTAATGATATCTTCAGTTCTTCAATTGAAATGTGCATTTCTAACAGCGGAGCTATCTCATCTGACAGGCTGCTTGTTAATTCGGTCTCCGTCCATGGGTCTGTGCGTCCATGCATCCGTGCGTCTGTCCGGAGTCATATCTCAGAATCCCTTGGACCGGCAGGCATCTTGTTTTTGTTTTTTTATGCGGTATCTTGTAAGTGCTCTGTCAATTTTCATTCAAATTTGGCACATACATGTACTTTATACATGTTAGGATGCATGTCCATGACAATTTGGTTCAAAATCTGGTCAAGGATGGCCGATTGACAGCCATCTGACTTTTTGGTCTTACTACTATATTTCCACAATTTATGTACCATATTCATTCGTATTTGGCACATACATCATACATATCAGTGTGTTTCATAATCAGATCAAAGATGGCCAATATGTCAAGCACAAAAAGAACTTTCAAATATTTAACGAGGACTGTGTCATTTTCAATGACTTGTTTGTAGTAAGATCTAGTATTTTACTGCCTGTTATATTTTCATGTGTCTGGTGTCCTAATATAAGCCATGGTTTATATTACAATGTATAAATTACAAAATTTGGATCAAAAGCTCAAGTTCGGGGTACAGTTTCTATTACGTAATTAGGTGTTACGAAATGTTGAAAAATTCCAGTAAAAAAAAATTGTACACATGATAAAAAAATATATATATTTAATGTAATATAATTTTCTTGGTATCAAAAAGTATATTCTAACAGAAGTTTCAAATAAAAACAAACTTGAATGCACTGCTTAGTAGCAAACAATCACGGTACGGTAGCGCAATCTGGCCATGCTGCAGTTCACAACTGAAGTGTTGAAATTGGTGATTATTATTCAGTAGTGATTATAATAACGCACGAAAAATAAGTCCATTGAACTGTTATAAAATGCAAGTATAATTCAACTTTAGTTTCATCGTAAGCGAATGATTTCAGTCACATGTAAACGGTTGATACAATACGATATTCGCCATGTTATGAATGCGCACAAGACGTGTTTATTGACCGGATAGGTCAAGTCGCTAATTAACCAATCGAAATGCTGGATGGTGCCCACGTGTCTTAATTACCATAGCTCATTTAAATATGTTAATGACAGTTCAGCGACCTCATAGTGATCGCTACACAGAAGAGATTTACCGATAATGTAGTGCGATCTTTTGGCTTTGATTTCCATGGGAAAACTGCATATTTTTTTTTTAATTAAGAAATCATTTGTTCTCTAAAGATAAACTGAGCATTGAAGAAGAATTTAACACTTTTACGGTGATAACAGCTCATTGGTATGTGCATAGGGCAATATTGATATGTGCATAGGGCAATATTGGTATATGCATAGGGCAATATTGGTATGTGCATGGGTAATATTGGTATATGCATAGGGCAATATTGGTATGTGCATAGGGCAATATTGGTAGGTGTATAGGGCAATATTGGTATATGCATAGGGCAATATTGATATGTGCATAGGGCAATATTGGTAGGTGTATAGGGCAATATTGGTATATGCATGGGGCAATATTGGTATGTGCATGGGTAATATTGGTATATGCATAGGGCAATATTGGTATGTGCATGGGGCAATATTGGTATATGCATAGGGCAATATTGGTATGTGCATGGGGCAATATTGGTATGTGCATGGGGCAATATTGGTATGTGCATGGGTAATATTGGTATATGCATAGGGCAATATTGGTA